GGGAGCTGCTGTTTTAAACAAGAATCTCCAACAACTGATTTTTATTTCCTTCTTAAATAAAAATGGCTTTATTTTTTCTGATTATATAAATAGTGTATGCATATTGTAAAAACAAATTCAGAGCTAGGGATGTGACTCAGTGGTAGAACTTTTACCTGGTATGGACCAGGCCCTGATTTCCATCCCTATCCCCTCAAACACACAAATCTAAACCATACAAAAAATAAAAAATAAATAAAGGAAGAGGTGAAAGATCACCTAAAATCCCATATAATGAAATATGTCTTATCTTAATATAGCGGTGACCACTTCCCCCACCACTGCCCCTCCCAGTGCTGGGGATTGAACCTAGCATGCTGGGCAAGTGCTCCACTATTTAGCTATATATCCCCCAGCCCCACCATCCTTTTTGATACCTTTCTGGGCATATTTATAAGCACACATATTGAAAAAAATGCGATCACAGTTCCTATGATGATTTTCTTATGATCATCATTCTCTTTTCCTACAATATTTTGTTATTCTCTTTTTTCCTGCACATTTTCTTCCTCTGCCCACCTCTCTTCCCCCATGCTGTGTCAAGGGTCCTCAGAACCACCCCCAGTTTCAGTGATTCACTAGAAGGACTCACAACCCAGCACAGAGTTGTACTGATGAGTAAAGTTCATTGTAGCCAAGGATGCAAAGCAAAATCAGCAAAGGGTAAGGACATCTGGTGGGAAGTCCAGAGGAAACCAGGAGCTAGCTTCTAAGAATTCCCTCCCGTGGAGCTACACCAGAAGCAATTCCTCCAGTAGTGAGTAGGGCCTGCACAAGCCAGGTGGTCTCCAGGGAAGCCCATTAGAGAGAGTGCTCAGTGTTTTCTATTGGGGGCTGGTAACGTAGGTACCCTCTTCCTAGCCCCCACCCAAATTCCAGACTCCCAGAAGGAAGTCGGGCATTGAGCACCAACTGCATTGTTTATACAACTGCATTGTTTATACAAGCAGTTTAAGTACAGGGTCAGGGTCACTCTTATTATGTCCAGGTAGGCAGCTGTTTGCAAGCATCTCCCAGACACCAGCCACTCAGCAGGTCCCTCTAAGAATGGCTGCCTCAGACCTGCAACATTCACTCCTTTCTGGGCACCCCACAGGGTTCCCATAGACCTCCTGTCCACACAGCCCTCCAGCCAGGGGCCCTCATTTCTATGCCCTGGATTCCCAGAGGTGTCCTTGTGGAGTTGAAGGATGTGGGTGGGTGTTTAATCATAACGATTCACATATTTCTACCCACAAAGTTAAACAAATGCTCTTTTCCCTAAATTTCCGATGACAGTGGCTTTTACCAAGCATTTGAAGTTTTCCCATTCTGATCAGTGACAAATGGTATCTTATGTCTACTTTAAATTTTTATTTCCATGGCCACTAGTGAGGGTGTGCTTTTAGCCTTTCAGATTCCTTCTCCTGTTGTTGGTTTATTCATATCTGTGGCCCATTTTTCTCCTGGGTTGCCTGTCTATAAATTTTGGGAGCTCTCTGTATATAGATGTATTAATTTTG